TGATCCAGGGCTGCAGAAGGAAAAACAAAAAATATTATTTAAAATATAAATATTAGATTATAAATATTTTAAATATTAAAATATTTATAATTTTAAATGAAAAATTACCTGTATGACACGATCACCAAATATACAAAAGAATGAGGGAACTGGCTCATGTATAATGGTTTAAGCTGCAGAAACAAAAAACATGGTTTTTAAACACTTTTTGCATTTTACTAATGTTGCCTGGTGTAGCTAGCATCAAGTGCTTCCTCATTAAGTTTATTTGTGTGTATTTCTGTACTTTTTACTGGTTGTGTTTAAATTCTTCATCCTACAGGTTTCATATATATAATATTTAACATCTAATGCTCATTCTTCTTAGTGCTTTCCTAAACACTTTGTCGAAACAAAATCAGCATGATCCCACATCAGCAAACTAAAGTTGATGCTGTAAAGTTTCCTTATCTGTTGATTTGGAAAATACAAGTTGATACTTCATTGATTAATACATACATAACTGATTAATACATCATTGATTACATGGAAGGATTATTTGCTTGTAAATGAGTAACGTTTTGATATTTTATGACATTTATGATTAGTAACAGTAGTAGTGCCTTAAAATAATACAATAGATCATAAAATTAGGTTTATACATGAGTTTTATGCTGAGGGTGAAGCTTACCTGTCCTTCTATCATTGAAGATCGCTTCTTAAAACCTGGAGATGTTGGATCCAGCAACACGCTTGTAAAGATGTCATTTTTAGATCTGAAAATCACCAACTTTACTATTAATGGTGCTATAGTTGGGTTTGTTGGAGCAGGTGTCACCAGTACCGGAGTAGTTGGGTTTGGAGTTGTTGTTGGAGAAGTTGTTTTGGTTGGTGCTGCAGTTGTTTTGGTTGTTGTTGAAATTGTTGTTCTGGTTGTTGGAGTAGCTTTTTTTGTTGTGGCTGCAGTTGAGTTTGCCGGAGCAGGTGCTGTGGCTGCTGTTGAGTTTGCCGGAGCAGGTGCTGTGGCTGCTGTTGAGTTTGCCGGAGCAGGTGCAGTGGCAGCAGTTGAGTTTGCCGGGACAGGTGATGTGGCAGCTGCTGCAGTTGAGTTTGCAGGAGCAGGTGCTGTTGCTGCTGTTGAGTTTGCTGGGGGAGGAGCTGTCGGTGCGG